CTGCATGCTACTGTTTATTTTTGGAAAAAACACAAATTTTCGTTGCAGATGTAAACGAGTGTGAGAATGATAAACAGTGTCCTGGTGCTGGTGAATGGTGCGTAAATTTGTTCGGTGGTTATCTTTGCTGCAACGCTGATTCCAAAGAGCAGGAGTGTCTCCAAAGTAGCGGTAAACATATGATTGCTGATGGCTTCAATATCACTGGTTCCGGAGGCGACTACGACATTCATGGTATGTTACTATTTTCATCTTTTCATGCCCTTTGCTATTAAAATAATCCTTAAACAAGAGCCATTTGTCGAATTTATTTACACACCAATTTTTCTACTCTGAAGTACCTTCATCCGTCTTATTTACCAGGCACGTTTAATACTCGCTCCTAGGCCTCTTATATGATTGCTTTTAACAACGACCAGTCATGCTAAAACTTCTATCAGGTTTTCATCCCAGAAATGAAAACACCGAGGTGCCGTGAATTGCTATGATGTTAGGTGTTACAAAGTGTAGAGTCCTGGGATATTCACGTTGGTAGCGCTTGCCTTTTCTAATAATTTGGTTTCAGCGGTTCATGAAGCAGCAGATGCGTCATATTTGGTGGGTAGCGTATTCATTTCAGTATCGCACATATTTGAGAAATATGTGTTCATTTAAAAAACTGTACGACTTTTTCACGTACATATCAGGGCGCACAACACGCACATACACGCATGCACCACTTTGCACACCACGTTTTTTGTTAGTGCTTTAAAAAATTCACAAAAATCACGGGAAAATCCTATTTTTTTATAGTCGTAATGGCACTTATTGGAACAAGCAATCGAAGAAAATAGCTTTACACAGCATGCACTTGCAACATTTTTTTTGTGTGGAAATTCTACACTTTTAAGTCCATCACGTAGAACGTACGTGGAACACTTTGAAGGTGTTCGACGAATTTTCTCGACGGGTTCAATGCAACAAAAGAAGTCAGGTGGTTTCGTAGTTATAAACGGTCGTGTGATATCCACCGAACTGTTTGGCTTGGCGTGCTACTTCGGTTGTCCGTCTGATTCGCACTGCGTAAATGGCACGTGCCGCTGCAACGACGGCTTTGCCGGAAATACCTTCGATGGCTGCGCTGGTTTGTTTTTTTTTCTTTCACTCAGTTAATCATTTCTGAAATATTTGAGTGGTATTACGTGAGAAAATAAACGACCATCCGGGCAGTTTCTGAAGAGGGGGAGTACCGAAATTGAAAAGGCGGGTGGGTACCAGTTGGAAATATGCAGCTCAGAATTGAACAGCCTGGCATAGCCATGCTCGACGTGTGAGAGCATCCCACTATCATCACTATTGTGAAATTTCTATATCAATGAACTTGGTATTCTTGTTAAATTTCATTCATTCTTATGACTGGCCGATCTTGGGAATCCTGATATCTTCAGACGCACCGCGATGCTTTAATGCTCTAAGATATCGTTGCTACACCTTAACCTGATATGGGCTAAGGCTTGGGGCTTAAGTGTAGCTAGTTAGAAAGCTACTTCCTCCTAACACTATTTCAAAACAGAGTCGCGGATTATATGGCTGGCATTCTGGTTCCTCATGTTTCTGATGTATTTCCGAAAAAAGAAAGTACTGAAATATCCCATGTTGCCAAAGTGTAGGATAAGTTGCACACAGAAGTCTTGAATTCTAGAAATTTTTATCTTTTGACGAAATTTTTCGAAATTTTGCCTCGCTCTTAACTTGATACTAAGAAATTGAGCTAAATCAGTGGAACCGAACAGATCACTGATTTATTGTACATTCTCATTTCAGATGTTGATGAATGCGCACTCGACTTGTGCAAGGAGCCCAACTCGTGGTGTATCAATCTGCGTGGCTCATTTGCGTGCTGCACTGCAAATTCGACATCCTCGACCTGTGTTGGCCTTGAAATTACCGGTGGCCAAGAAGGCCATCTGCATGCCGCTAGTGCTGGCATCCTTCGGACGCAATATGGTTCTTTGGCATCATCTTCGCCGATAGCAACGAAAGATATTGGTTCCAGCGGGAAAATAGTTTCTAATACATTTGGAACAAGCAAAGCACGGACTGGTCAAGATGCTGGTGCCGACGCATGGGGTCATTGGAGCAGCGGTTCTAGTGGACGGAAGGGTGGATGGGCTATTGAAACGGTGGGAGAATGGAAGAATTTTACTGGCCATGCGATAATTATTGGGCGCGGTCGGATTGAAAGCGGAAAATGGAACTTAACTCAAGGTATGGATGGGAAACTAACTTGGACTGGGTTTTTTCTGCTTAATGACAAAGGTTGATTGAAAGGCATATGAAGCGCCGGATTGACAGAATCTAACCTCTGGAATTTGCTTAGAACAACGAATCCGGAATTTGCTCATGTGCAGTACTGCAGGTTTTTAGAAGTGCAGTTCAATCATCTGGTAAAGCAAGTTGGCTTTACTGTTTTTGTAACATTTCTGCAACGTGCACACTGGCACTGCACTTCACTCACTTTATGCACTGCACCTCCGTCATGCTCATTTGCTCCCCCGGCCGGTCACGTGCCCCTTAGCTCTTAAATATCTTTAGACTCATCAGTATCAGCTGTCTTGTTAGCGAAGCTTTCGAACGACGTTTTTTTTCAAAAATTATTTGAAAAAGAAGATGAACTGCTCTGTCCGCCGTGCAGGATCAAAGGTTATTGTTGGAGCTAAACAACAAAATGTGGAGTAGCTCCTCAATAAGACCATCAAAGAGCATGGAAGGAGCGGCACAAAGCACTGCTATGTGTTTTTACTGCTCCAGTATTATCCAGTGGTTTAAAGCCTGTTTATTAACATACTTCGCTTACTTGTCTAGCACTGAAATTGCCAGTGAGGAAATTCGCCTTTAGATTACTTTTAACTTGGAGGTTCTTCATCATCGAAGTTAAAGTTCTAGAATTATTGGAACTGTCAGGATTACCGGTCGGAAAGCACCGACACATATGATTGCACTTGTCAGGCCTAGAAATTAGCTCTCTCGTAACGAAGATACAATTTTTATCTGTTTAGAAATTTTTGAGAAATTCTGACTGTCGTTAATAGATCAAATAATGATTAATGCTTTTTGTTAAAAGTAGGTTAAGGAACAACCGCGTTACTATGACGCAATATCCCTGTCCCCCTGGTTCAAACTTTGGCCACCTTACCTCATTGAACTTTCGATCTTTGTCCCTTGGGATACAAAAGCACTCCTCTCCATCGCCGGGATCGCCACTACTCATCAATCCCTCTCGACCTATTTTATTAGATTTTACCCCTATTCTGGGAATAGATAATACAAACAAAGGTGGTGAGACTCTAGGGATTTCCCAGAGCTTCACCACCTTTGTTTGTATTACCTCTTTAACATACTGTGTATTAATAAATATGTATATAGGACGCGACGTCGTACTACACACACACTAGCTTAATAAGCTAATAGTTAGGGTCGCGATATGACAAACATCACTTAGATTTAAAATAAAGGATGGAACTAGAGATGTCAAGACTACCTGGACAATCGGAATAGGAATTCTATGTCAGTAATGTTACTGGAATGCTTCCACATGCCGGAAGCAGCTAGGCCAAGTCCTATTCTGAGCTGCGCTCTTGTAACGAAATACATATTTATTTGATATTTTAGCAAAAAACTGTTAATATTTTGCATATAAAATATGTTACAGCGCTTTTTAATAAAAAAAGATGATTAAAATTTGTTGGAACGTTGTCGAAAAATCTCACCATTTTATTCAAACAATTTGCATTATTGTTCCAAATAAAAGATTTTGTTTTTGAGAAGATATTGTTACGGCATAAGCATTAGAATCGGCAGTGTGACTCATTTTCCTTTTAAAAAGTATTTAAATCTTAAGTTTTTGTCCGAACAATTTTCGTTCTTATTTTGTAATGATTACAGGATTACATGGGAACAGAACTGGCAGTAAGGAGTATGTGACAATTATTTCCGGAAATGAAACATCAGCAGCAGAGGGTGAAGGTGTTCCAATATCAAGGATTGGAGGAGTGATCATCACGGATGCGGGAGCTGGCGGCAAGACTAAGGAAGCATCTGGAAGGTCAGAAAAGGAAACAAATAAAATAAAAACAGAGGTCGAAGCTGGTAGCGTGAGGAAGACTGTGGTTATCGAAAGAGTCGGTAAGACCGGAGAGGCAGACAAGACAGGCGGATATCCTGACGGCAAAAGCAAAACTGTCGGGGCGAGAACTGCCAGCGAAACAAAAAGCGTTGTAAATGAAGGTAACAGGGAGTCAAAATCATTTCCGGCCACTGCTTCTGGAACTGGGGAAGCATTCACCGAATTCGCAGGAACTGAAAAAAAAGAGACCACCGAAAAGTTACCAGAAGCTGAAGAATCTAGCGAAAGCACTACTGGCACCACTGCCCAAAGCAGGGGACAATTTACAAGTGTAACAAGTATTGCAACTGCACCTTCTGAATCACAAAAATCCGGTATTACTAGCGACAGTACCGAACAAAAGCAGATCTTAGAAAACGGTTCGACAACTTCAGATCTTCAATCATCTACAGTACAAGGAGAAACACGACAAGTTTCTAACGGATCTACCCAACATGCAGTTGACGAATCACGGAATTTGGCGCAAGAGAGTTCAGAAGTTTCTGGGCCTGCTCTACCTACCGGACACTCTCAAACTTCCCAGTATCTCCAATCCTCAACGGAAAATCCCTATTCTGTTGGCACTACCACTAGGATTCATGCTAAGCAAAACACAACTTTCGAAAATCAAGCAAGTGCGGGAGATTCCAAAACATCTGCTGTTACTGAAACAGTTACTCCTACTGATTTAGATACGAACACATTATCGGAATCAGTACCAGCAAAGAGCACAAAATCACGTACTGCTACAAGTTCGGGAGATGAGGAAATTTCAGCAAGTGAGGAATCGAAAGTACAGTTTTCTACAGGCAGTGAAACCAGGCGAACAACTAGAGCGGCCGAAGAACATTCCGAATCAACAACGTCCGGAAACAGCGGAGCGGTAGTGTCCAGAATTTCCGGAACCTCGGCATCATCGTCGACGTTGGGCGATTCTTCCACAGCAGTTTCTTTAGCATTTAGCGAAAACGCTGCAATTGAAACTCACGTAACAGACGAAGAGATAAGCCGTGCATCGTATTCACGCGCAACATCTGATGATGAATTACATATAACGCCATCGGTAAGACCAAAAATCCAGACGCAGGATAAGGATAAAACCATTGAGCAGACAGAAAGTGTTGGAATAACGAAGGTTCCTGAACGTATGGTTACCGAAGTTGCTAAGAAAAGTAGTGCTGTATCAGACGCTTTTAAGCACACTGCAAATGAAGGAAACGAAGTTGGTTCATCAGCTGCATTTGATAGAAAATCTACAGTTTCTCCAACAACAGCCAGTTCAAAATTCCAAGGAATTGCGATAAGTGGTATATCCAGTACTTCTAAAAGTGCTGGCAAGTTGACAAATTCTGCTGAATCCACGGAAACTCGTGTTTCTGAAAAACAACTCCATGAAACAACTGAATTAGGTTTGGAAATCGTTAAAGTTAGTTCCGGCACTGGAGAACACAGAGTAATGGAACCATCGAGTACTTATGTTTCGAAAGATGGAGGAGCAACCTATACAGAATTCGCAGGAACTACAAGGCCTCTGGATGTAAAGCCTGCAGAGAGCAGCGTTTCCAGTGCAAAATCGGCGTCGCCAGTACCATCAATACGTGCAGGATCTGAAAGTATTAAAACTTCCGCAAATGAAAGAGAGGAAGCTTCACATGAAAAAACTGAATCAAAAGAGATTTCCGCGCAAACACCAACGAAAACAGCAGAAGAAATGTCTGCAGTAACAACTGTTTCTGCTGAAGGTGTGGAGTCCAGGAAAAATACGGGAGAATTGGAAACTGGCAGTGTACTTCCGACTGCAGGCATCATTGCTAGTGGTCATCCAGAAGCAACGACCCAAAAGACAGGGGTCGGAACGACTGCTTTGCATAATTTGCATGAAACTGTAACAGGATCCGAGAGCGCGTCCGAAACCACTAAAACAGTAGGCCAGAATGAACTTTCCACGCTTGGCCAAAAATCAGCTACCTCCACTTCTGTAAGTTCGCACTCAGTCGAAACATCGGAAAGTGCTATTTCTAAGGGCACTGCGACACACCCAACAACACTGAACCTTGAAGTCACAAACGAAAAGTTTGAATCTACATATTCCTCCAGTTCAGTGGCATCAAAAAGCAAAGAAGCTGTCACAATTTCGCCAGCACAAACACCGAATGCATATGAAACAACGGTGAGTGGGTCCAAAAAATCGGAATCTTTGACCAGTGAAATTGAAATAACACAAAATACCAGAGAGCAGTTAACCGGTAAAAAATTCGTAAAGCCAGAATCTACTACTGTTGGATCTGAAAGCGAACAGAGTTCCAGGCAAAAATTAGCTACTAAGGAAAATGAAAATACCATACCCAGCAGTACTTCAGGAAGCGTGGGAATTACTGGAGATGAAATCACTGTAAAAGAAACCGCAAAACCATCTGCAATTGAAGAGCGCAAAGGAACAATTACACAAAACGGTAGTGCGACTGATAACACGGTTTCAGTCGATTTTGGAAACACACGAAGTGTATATAAACCAACGAGAAACGAATCTGCGAAAACACAGTTTTCTGCAGGCAAACATGAAAGTGTTGATACTACAAATACTGAAGGAAAGCAGACTCTTTCTGCTTCAGAAGCCGTGTCACCGATGACAATTCAGAGAATTAAAGGAACAACGATTTCCCACGTAACAGAAGAAAACGAAGTTGAAGGGTCTGGTAGCGAAACGCCTTCTAGTGTCAGTAGTACCAAGATTGTGAAAATTTTCGAGGAAACGGAACTTCCCCCCTCAGCAGTGGCACCAAACAATGGATCACAAGAAACTGGCCTGGAAATTGTACCAACTAAAGCCCCAGTATTCGTAAAAGAAAAAGAAAATACTGTAACTAGTAAATCAGAAGAAGGTGGCCTAGAAATAGTACCAACCAAAGCCACCGTGCTCGTAAAAGAAAACGTTGGGACTGGTGGATCACAAGAAGCTGGCCTGGAAATTGTACCAACCAAAGCTCCAGTATTTGTCAGAGAAGAAGAAAATACTGTAACTGGTAAATCAGAAGAAAGTGGCCTAGAAATAGTACCAACCAAAGCCACCATGCTCGTAAAAGAAAATGTTGGGACTGGTGGATCACAAGAAGCTGGCCTGGAAATTGTACCAACCAAAGCCCCAGTATTTGTAAAAGA